TGTGCAGAGTGGTGCGAAGCCACACTTCCCTCAGTGCCCCTGGACAAGCTGCCCATGGCTCCATCCCATGACCCATCCCAATGGCCCCAGGGTTCCATTCACCCCTGCCCTGCCCCACTTCCTCCCTCATTGTGGAGGTCCTGATCTGCCCCTCTCCCTCCACAGACTTACCTGCCGGGCACCATGTGCCTGTGTGTCTGTCACTCTCAAGCCACAGCCACCCCAGCCCTGCTGCTACCCCTCACTCCTGACCCACAGTAACCCACATCCTGGCAGGATGTGGGGACCACCCTCTCCCCAGGCCTCCAAACCCCACACACACACCCATAGCCCCGGGATTAAAATTGCAATTGTGACTTTTTATTTCAACTGTTTTATATGGCTACCATAACTGATAAAACAATGTTTTATGATTACTAAAGGTTTTGATGTTGTTTTAATACGTAGTCTGTTACCTATGTGCATGAAAAAATTGCTGGTGGTACTTAAGGTTGTATACTTTAAACTGGTGGTACACAATCTGTCAGTTTGGGAACCACTGCACTATGCAAACACGTGTAAACCAGGACAAAAATATTTTTTGAAATAAAATTAAAATATGTTATAGCAGATGTTTGATTTTTAGCATATGATTTGAGTTTTTTTCTGTTCCAAGATGGCAACCCTCTCCCCCAAAGGAATACTTCTGGCAGCAAGGGGAGGGATTTCTGTTGGCAAAATTCAGGGATTAGAAAGCAAGACTTCTGGTCCCAAGATGGCAACCATGGGGTGGGGCACCTGTCAAGGGGCAGGGCTATCCTCACAGCCTTAGACAGCTCACCACAACTCATTAAGCAGTCCTCCAGCCAAAATAATTGCCTACCCGTGGTCCAATGCATATTTCCATGAACATACACCATTTGTGTCCCAATCCCTCGCACCAAAACAGACCCTGCCCCAGTCCCCATTCTAGCTAAAGATGGATAAATGTTTCCCAGTTCCCTCCATATGTCCTGCTTTTGCCCTGTCTTTTCTTTTTAACAAGGAACTTTGCTGTGCGTAATGGGGCCATTTAAGACTTGGCTCATTCTGTACTGGCTCAGGTGCAGTCTTGATAACTGGAGGATCTGGTTAACAAGTTAATCTGGTTAAGAAATTAAGAGACCCCTCTTCCTCCTACCACAGGAACAAAAGACAAGAAAACTCTCCCGCCCCCCCCACTGTTTACATCATGTTAACGAAGGACATTCGACCATATGCTAGGCTGCATTGACTCCTCTACAAGAAGGCCACCATTAAATCTTCCTTAAATGGGAAGCCCACAAGACCATCAAGATGCACCTCTCTGAAATGAAAAAAACAAGTATGGGCCAAAACATGTACAAGGGAACTACACTATAGTGCCTGGGGCAGGAGGGTCTCTCTCTTGATGCTATTGTGTCTGCTTATCAGTAGATGCAATTTTGTTCAAAATTGTATTGTATGTGCAGGCCACCCTCCACCCACTCTGCTCCGTGTCTGGCCGCCGGGAAGGTACACTGCTCCAAAAAGGTTGAAAACCCTTGCTATATAGTTAAGCCAGAAGTGTAGCAGGAACAGGGTACAAGAGCTGGCATTGCCCCTAAATAGTTTTCAACGAGGTGTGTACAAATTCTGATCCAACATGTACTGAACAGGGCCTAGTGGCTTGTCTTTTCCAATTACATTAAAGAGCTGACTCAAGCCCAGGTCTTCACAAATCAGTTGGGTAAATGTAAGCACCAGTGCTGCTTTCTTGCAAGTCCTTTTTCTTTCTTTCATTCTTTCTTCATTTAAAAAAAAAAAAAGAAAAAAGAAGGTGCTCTGTAGGTCATTCCAGATCAAACAAACACAAGCCACTGACCTTAGCACTTCCTTTTCCAGATGACAAGGAAGTTTATGACCAAAAAGTTAATTAAACCAGACTGAAAGTGACCCACTGTTTGAGAGGCAGTCAGAAACACCACTCCCCTGTCATGCCTCTCCCCACTTCTTGAAAGAGGACCCATTAGCTTTCTTGTACTGGGATCTAGTGTGAATGCAGCTGCCTTCTTATATGTGAGGTATTTCACAGGGAGCAACAATTTATTTATTTGCACTATGGTTTCTTTTACTAGACCTAATGGGCTTAGCAGATTTGATTTATTATGCAGAGGCTGACTATCAATGGCCTATGACTCACTACTCAACTGCCCATCTAATTTTGTACTCATCTTTGTTCTCCCCCTCCCATTCTCCCCAAAGCACATGAACATACTATACTTAGTAGTTTGGAATCACAGAATCATAGAAAGTTAGGGTTGAAAGGGACTGCAGGAGGCCATCTAGTCTAACCCGTTGCTCAATAGCAGGACCATCCTCAACTAGATCATTCTACCCAGGGTTTTGTTAAGCTGGGCCTTAATCTCCAAGGATGGAGATTCCACCACCTCACTGGATAACCTGTTCCAGTGCTTCACTACCCTCCTAGTGAGAGCTTTCCCTAGTATCCAACCTAAACCTCTCTTGTTGCAACTTGAGACCACTGCTCCTTGCTCTGTCATCCGCCACTACTGAGAACAGTCTAGCTCTATCCTCTTTGGAGCCACCCTTCAGATAGTTCAAAGCTGCAATCAAATCCCCTCTGTCTTCTCTTCTGCAAATTAAATAAACCCAGTTCCCTCAGCCTCTCCTCATAAGTCATATGCTCCAACCCCCAAACCATTTTTGTTGCTCTCGGCTGGACTCTCCAACTTGTCCACATCTTTTCTATAGTGGGGGCCCCAAAACCAGACACAGTACTCCAGATGTGGCCTCACCAATGCAGAATAGAGGGGAATAATTACTTCCCTCGTTCTGCTGGCAACACTCCTACTAATGCAGCCCAGTATGCTGTTAGCCTTTGGCACTGTATAGTAGAGGGTTGCACCTATGTCTGCTTGCGGACAGGACTCCTTATGAGAGCCTCATAGTTAGCTTCCCACTAGCCAGCTTCCAGCTGGAGGATCTCGGCTACATGCCGACTACGAAAATGGGAGACTCCTCTCTAGCTTGCTCCTGCAGCCATATGGCTGAGGGCAAGTGAAACTCGGGGGCATCCAAACCCCAAGCTTCCAGACCTGGGCATGCACATTAGATGCCCACCAAAGGATTTGGAGGCATCTGAAGCACCAGGCGGGGGTGAAGGATGTTTTCCGGTAGTACGGCCACATATGGTTCTTGAATGACTCATGGATTTGGACTTGATTTGGCTGATTTGACTTGGAACACAAAATTAAACAAACAAACAAAAAAAAGACAGAACACACACCAAAAAACTCAAACAAACAAACAAATGGGCACACTGCTGACTCATATCCATCTTACTATCCACTGTAACTCCCAGTCCTTTTCTGCAGAGCTGCC